CCTAACCCACCCACACTGTAAGGTTTTGTTTGGTTTGAAGGAAAAGGTAAGGAAAGGTAAGGAAACCTTTATAAGTCTTGTATAGGTTTCCTTACCTTTCCCTTCCTTTCCCTACTTTTTCCTTCAAACCAAACATAACCTAAGTGTAATAATATTTGTTTGAGCCTATAGGTTTGCCCATGTTAATTATAAAATTATGTTTCTTTATAAATTAAAAATTTTATTTAATTCTAGTCCAGTATTAATATATATATATATATATATTAATATAATTTTTGTAATTTAAATAATATATATCATATATGCATATAACTTCCAAGTTAAGCTTATTAGGGGTTGCTTAGCTTGGGCCCTATCCGTTAAGGCTATCATTGGACTCCAAAAGTTCGATACCCAATTAGACTTTGAATCCAATTATCTTGGATTTGGATATTAGAACGAGCATTTGATTAATAATTTGATTGGATGTGGATTTAACCCCATCCAATTTGATTAAAATCCACATCTAACAAAAAATTACTGTTTTGTATATGTAGTATAATTATTTTCTACACATAGATATTATGTATAATTATACATAAATGCATTTATACTTTAAAATTCAAAATCCAACATAATAAAAATCAGATGTGGATGCAAATCTATAAATTTCATAATCGGATGTTGATGTGAATCTAATATGTTTACAGCCCTACTACCCACATTATGTGTGGGCTTGGTGTATATTTGAGATAGACCTAACTTAAAATAAAATAGTTGCTTAAGCATAGAAATTTATAAATCTAATCAGGTTAGGCCAAATTATAAATAATTTGTTACTTTTTATTACTAATTTTAATTATCCTATCAATACTAATTTTTATTAATTTCTTAATTTTTAATATTGTTAGGTAAATTTTGCTAAAAATTAATATTCTTTATTAATTTTTATTACTTTTACAACCTTACCACCTACATTATGTGTGGGCTTGGTAGATTTGAGTTAGACCTAGCTTAGAAGAAAATATTTGCTTGAGCCCAAGGTTGGGCTAAGTTATAAATGGTCATCCCTAAGTTGAAAGATCTTATGATATTATTTTAATTAATTTTTATAATTGTTACATGGAATGCAAATGGTTTATTTTCTTATGAATTTTAATTATCCTATTAATATTGTTTACATTTAAATTGAATTAAATTGTATTTTAGTTTTTTAATTTATGAACTACTAATTTTTATTGATTTCTTAACTTTTAATAGTTGCTAGATAAAAGCTTGCTAAATTTTAATATTTTTATTAACTTTAGTAATTTTATTAATTATAATTATTAGGCTTTAAGTTATATATAGATTATTATTATTATTATTATTATTATTATTATAGTTGCTAAAAAATGGATCAAGATAGACCCGTTTAACTTGTCTTCTTCGTATAAATGATAAAACAAGTTCTACATTTTAAATTTTCATTAATATTTCAATGTATCCTCTATTTTATATAAGTCTCTTGTGTAGTATGGGTACTATGTATGCACAATAAAGGTTTCAACTCATAAAAAATATAAATTTTAACAATATTATTAATTAATTAATTAAAAAACATTAATACAAAGCTATCTAATAAAATAAAAAGAATAAACAAAATAAAATACAACATTAGAATGCAGGTTCTATTTGCAATATATCAAACCCATGTTTAAATCATAATATTATTAAAACTATCAATTAATTTTTTTATATTTAAATTTCTTATTTTTATTAATGTTTATTAAGTTTGATTTTTAAGTGGAACTGAAATGTTTTTTAACTTTTACTAAGTTTTGTTAATATTTATTAGTTTTAAGTGGAAGTTTAGTGGGTTTTTAAGTTAATAGTTTTGAAAATAATATTTTTATTTTTGTTGTTTTATGTTTGATTGTTTAACTTCAACCTATTTATATTATTTGACTTATTAATATTTTAATTTATTATGCTGTATTCTATTCTTTCTCTCTCTAATAGTATGCAGCTTTATTAATCTAATCAAAATAGGTAATGATTACTTTTTTATATTTTTAAAACAAAAGGAAATATGAGAAATAGAAAAAAATAGAGAAAATAGATAAATAGCTTCTCTCAAAGGAGAGACATGCTGACATGGACTGTCCGATATTATTATTATTATTATTATTATTATTATTAGTGCATATAACTTAGGATATTAGGCTAAACTTAGGGCCTATTTGTTTGCTCTAACATCTGACATCTAAAAGTGCAATAATTACATTAAGAGGTATATTGGTATTGGTGAACTTTTCTTTCCTCCGAATTCTGAATATAAAGAATGTTGTTCCAAATTTTGAATTCTGAAAATTGTCGAATATCTATTTTAACCCCATATATGAAAATTTATGTTTGTGTTTTTGGGGGGGGTATCATTAGAAAACAAAAGGTTGTAAGATTCCTCTTTAAGAGAGAATGGATAAGAGGAAATGAACACCAACTTTTTCTCTTAAAGTTATAAGATTCCTTTTAAGAGATAAGAATTAAAAGGAAACGAACAGGCCCTTAGTCCACCCCATTCCATATTTAGTTTGTGTTTCAAATTTTGTACATTACGAATTTAAGTATTATGTATCACATGTTAACTTTGTTGTTGTAAGGCATATGAATTTATGCATTACATGTTAAATTTAATAATATTTTGAATTTGGATAATTGATTGTTGATGTGTCTTTTACATGTTTTAATGAAATAATTAAAAATTTTAATGTATATTTGTGTTAATTTTCTTGTTTATTGCTTATATAATATAATAAAAATAACAAGAGAAATAAATATGGGTTATGGGTCCAACCTACACACCCTCAAATGCTTAAAGGGTAAGGTTGGGGAGGATTTTGCATTTTTCATGTATGGGAAGGGTTTGGATTCTAAAAATTCAACCGGCTACAGATTTTGGGGAATGTACAAATTGGGAGGCTTGGGGAAGTAGGGAGGGTCTAGAATTTATAAAATTCTTCTTGAACCTAACCCGTTGTTAGTAGCATGGAAAATTAAATTCATACATTTTTTATCATTTTTTTAAGTTTGCGTAACCATTAGAATCTTTGGCATATGATATTGTACACGGTTAAACCTCTTCATCATTGAAACTAGACCCCACATGCACTAAACAAGGCTCATACCCATTTACGAGCCAATGTAGTCCAAAACCATCATTTGCAACCTCCTTACCCGAGTGTTCATATTCTTTTTCTTTTTTCTCCTATGTTTTTACATTTAGGGTTCAAGTATGATGCTAGAAAAACTTATAACCGACATCATAAAAGTAATAACCAATTAGTGGGTTTTCATCAGAATTCATTGTGGTTGATTGGTAAAAGCCTTTTAGGTATCATGAATTTTTAGCATCAAAGGTTTTACCTTTAGTGTTTATATCATTAAAATTTCAACCAGTCATGTTAAAAACATTCTACAAAGGTGTACTTTCATGTTTCATAAGATGTACTTACCATTAAGGGGGTGTTCGCTTTTTGGATTTTAAGAGGGGGGAAAGTTGATCAATGGAATTTTGGTTCCCATTGACCAAGAAACCCATGTTCGTTTTTTCAAATTTTTGTGGGGATTAGGGAAAATTTATTTTCCTGGGTATATACATCTCCAAGGTGGGTAAATAACTTTCCCACCTAAGGAAAAATTATCAACACTTTGATGAGACAAAAATGCTCATTTTAATAATGGATTTTTATGGCTATACGCTTACCTAGGTAAGTGTTTCCTAGGAACCACTTGCTCGGGTAAATAACTTACTGAAAAGAGAACAGGGCCTAAAGATTTTAACAACATTAAATATTCAATTATAATATGTCATTTTATCATTAGTTATGCACCATAAATTTTTTTCTTGTACCGTTGAGTAAAACATGAACACCAATACCAACTAAAAGATTTAGGCTCCAAATTCACTTCCTATTGTTTTCTTTCTTCATTTTTTTGGAACTACTAGATATCAATGTATTAAAAAAGGATAAAATAAGAAGATGTGGGGCATCCTAATTTCATATTTCAAATCCATACACCCACTTGTAAAATCCACAGTAAGGCCCACTTGATTCGCATCTAAGAGTGGAATCAAAATCTCCAAGAATCGAAATCATCTTTTTCTGATGAATGTTTGGTTCAGTTGGAAATTGGAATCAAATTTCGATTGTTATTATTTGGTTGAACTAGAAGTTAGAGTTGGAACCAGCCAAATTTTCCAATTGTGTCCCTATTACAAGAAGAGGAAGAAGAAGAAGAAGGAGGAGAAAGGAAAGGGGAGGAGGAAGAGGGAGAGAAAGAAGAGGGGAAGAAAGAAAAATGAAAAGGGAAGGAAGAATATGCCACTGCTGTTAATAAAAAAAAGTGATAAGAAAATACAACCCATAAAAAACGCAACCTATTGAAAATGAGGAAAGAGACCTTGAGCACAGGAGAAAGAAGAAACCTCACAAATTTGGAACACCAACAAGGGAGGATCAAGCCTTCAACAAAGATACACCCCTTCAAATTTAAAACTCCCCTAATAAAACATGGGATTGGGGTTAGAGAGTTGAGAGATTGCCAAGGTCAACATCCTCCAAAGGTAATCAAAAACCAAAATTTATTGGTGGAGGCGGCCAATAACCCCTCCCTCAAAACTGATACTAACAGCTAACAAACAGTAAAGAACAATGTGCCAACAAATTCATCCCAAATTGGATTTGAATCTCTTTAGTTCTTTCAACAAAAACTGTCCCAACATAATTGGTGTCTACACATTTGACATTTCTCAATCTTATGGTAAGATGTGTGAATAAAGATCATGTTAGAACTATGTTTCGATGGTTTTTGTTGGGAAGAGATCCCAACACTCCCAAATCACATACCAAATGGAATCCAAATCTTCTGAATGAAAATAACAATCCATAAATATTAGAGTTGGGATTTCTTCTCACAAAATCCTTCTCTCACCCACCTTGCAACCGCACATTGGGAATATCTCCCTATTTGTATACATGTTTTCATTCATGGGGAGTTGTTCCCAATTCATGGCTGCAAGTACTGTGAGGTGGCTGTGAAGACCATTCGGAGAAAGTTTGGATTTTAAATGCAAACTTAATTGTTCCCAATCAATTAAAAGGACCTTGTAAATACCACTAAAAAATTAGCCTTCAACTCTAAAAGGAAATTTTCTCCCCATAGAGCATGCCTCACATGTGCAACACAGCACATCCCAACTGTGCATTCCTAATGCATGTTGAAATGTGAGTGTGGGGCGAGCTGTGTGGGGAGCCAATACAATCTCCCCTAAAGGACATTAAAGTTCAACTAAGGCCTCCCAAAAACCCAAAAGTAATGCTAAAAAAAACTTGCCATCAAGCTCGTTGCAGATCCTAAGTCATCAAAAAACTAATTGCTGGCCAGAAAAATAGCAAAAAGCAACCATTTAGCACTAGTGCCAACCACAACAGTACTGTTAGCTTTTTGTGCCTTTTTGTGAAAGCTAACAACATGGTTTTATTTTTGAAAACAAAAGCAATTGCCACATGGTTTATTTTGGAAAAATTTCTTAAAGTATTCCTAAGTTTTACGAAATTGATTAACTCTATCCTTATTGTTTATACATTGTCTTAAAGTACCTCTAAATTTTCTGACAATCGACTAAATCCTCTCTTACTTTTAATGTCTTTAATATTTCATCAAAATCTATTCACATCTAACACCATATGATGCATATAATTTTTAAAAATCCAATATTACCTTTTTTAATCAATTTTACCCTCCATTTTTCTTTAAATTTTCAAAATATAGTTCAACAAACTTCAAAAGAGATTTCGACTTAGCATCAACAAAATTTGAAATTTTAACATACCCACCCATGATACACGATTTCCTTTTTCCCTCCTCTCCTCTTTCCCCCCGTGTCCCCCCTCTCACCTAATGCAAGGAATCGTAGGAGTACAGACTTTATTGTTGGTCATTACAACTCTCATGTCAGAACTGTCAGAGTGCACGGACTTTCACATTTTGCCTCTTGATAATTTTGTTTTAACATCATTTGGCATGCCTCATAATAATTTTATCTTTAACTCAAAAGGACTTAAACCTGTCAGGCCTAATCCATGTTGCCTGGTAGAGCATAGGTTACAACTTACAATGAGGCAATCTCTATCTAGGGCTGGCAATGGGGTGGGTTTGGGGAGAGTTTTGTAAATTATACATATTATTCACCTTCCTAAATCTTCTAACCCATACTCGTCCCAAAACCCATAGCAAATTGGATTTTGAGAATCCAAACCCTCCCTGCACATAAAAGTGCAAAACCCTCTCCTAACCTACCCTGCCTGCATTCAAGGGTAGGGGCGGGTTGGGTTTAAAACCCTCATCTAATTTCCTATTATTTCTTGTTATATATGGGCAATAAATAAGTAAAACAACACTAATAAACATCAAGGTTTCTAATTATTTGATTAAGACATGTAAGAAACACATAAACTATCAATTATCATTCACATAAAATTCAAAATATTATTAAGTTCAACACCTAGTACATAAAGTTTATATGCTTTCCAACAATATACAAGTCGGGGAGGGTTAGGTTTAGCCTAATACTGTACCCTACCTATACTTGTACGGATTGTAGAATCCCAAAACCCGTCACTTAAGCAATAAAACCCACCCTATTGGGAAGGTAGGGACGGATAATACCCACTGGATAGGGTAAAAATTGCCATACCTATCCATCTAATCCCATAGCTTTCTAATGGATCCTCTTCTGCCATCAAAAAATGGGTTTGCTTAAGGACTGATGTCCTTATCATGTTGTCATAGTTCACCATTATGTTTATCTACCAAAGTAAATATCTAAAATTATCAGAAGATGTTAATGGACAACGAGAGCGAAAAAGGAAAAAGCCAAGACATCAATAAAGTTGGGTATCCCCACTAAGAAATTACTTCCATTGGCATAGTTATTGTATTGATCTATGAAGACTTGAAGAGTTAAAAGAGACAGGTCAAAATGGGCAGAAGTTGGATATCCCCACTAGTGGTAAATTTGCACAAAGTGAATTTGGCGTTTGTACTTGAATACTCTGTTTTGGAATTTAAATTAGTGGGATTCAATTAGCAAGAGTTCTTAAGCATCTGCATTGGAAAACATACAAAACAAGAAATGCAAATCAAATAAACATGTATATTACAAAATTAATAAAAATCAACATTATAGTTGTATCCAAGTTTATACGGCTGACTTGCTCACAAGATTGAGAGCCATGGAGGCCTTAAATCAAGGAAAGCAATAGCCCTGTAACCCCTGCATTATCACTGATATTCCCATTTATATATTGTCCTTTGTGTGTTTTTAGAGGCTTCATAGCAATGTAGCACATGATGCAAACAATGCTAACATTATAGTTGTCATTTGTCATTGGATGAAATTTATAGGTTTTGGACCCATCTTCACCTATTAACTTATATCATCATAACAACTCAATTCTCCATAGTTCTCGATTGCTTCAGAAGAAAAAAAAATCATCTATTAAGACCCATGAAATCCAAAAGATCAAATTTCACATCAAAAATTTCAAAAAGAAAAAAGTGCAATAAATTCCACATTGTGTTCTTCTTGGATAAGAATGGAGTCAATGGATTAGGTTCAACATTTGCCTTATGTTAAAGAGAATTGACGGGGCAATGAAAACCAAAATAGAGCATCCCCACCATCCCAAAGGTTGTGTGGGATGGTGGAATTGTGCACCATCTTTTTTTTTACTACCCATTTGATTCCTAAAAGAATTGTGGAAAGGTTGTGTGGGATGGTGGAATTGTGCACCATCTTTTTTTTCCTACCCATTTTCATCTTTCTGTTAATAGACGCTAATGACAAATGCTAACGATGGGGATGGTTTAGTCAATTGTTAAAAAACTTAGGAGTACTTTATGTTAGACAGTTATGCCTTTAGCTCCAATCATATTGATGTATCTTTTGACATTTATTATAAATGAATAAAGTACATAATTGATTCATGTCAATGTGGTGTGTTTCTGTGTAAAACCCTTAAACTTGACACTTATGAGACTTGTGTTAGTTTAGAATTTTCATAGCCGTTGGATAGATCTGGGGAGATTTATCCTGTCAAGGCTGACATTGATGTGCCGCCAAGTTGGTTGGGGTGGCTTGTCTCAACTGCCAGGGTGAGACCTGAGGTACATGTAGTGTGGGTTTTCTTGAAACCTTGAACCGGACCAAAATTCTAATATTGCTCTGGACCTTGGAGATAGATGGGCAAAACTGAAATGTTTCACCTGGCCCCTATACTCGATTATGGTACTGCACTAGGTGTCGGATTGAGTTGTCTTTGATATGCCAATCAATGATCCTTAGAGGGGGTCAAAACCTAGGTATGTTGGGACAGTCTGAGAATTCATCTGAGTGGGTGATCATAGTGACAGGATCAGTCCCTTTGTCGGACAAAGTGGATGATCGGAAATTCACTCTCTCTGATGGAAACCTAAACTGCCGGTAGTTTATTTCAATCGTTGAAATTTGTTTTTGCAAATATATATATATCAAAATGTTTTGCAAAATATTTTAATTCCCGAGATCCATGTGAATAGAGAGTGCAACACTATTTCTTGTAGCCGAGGGAGAGGTCCTCTCTTGTCGGGTAGTGTTTGATCATTATGGGTTGAGAGGTTAAGTGTAAGACCATTAGGGGCAATACCTGATGGGCTAATATTGCATCTGTCCACAGTCCTTGGGTATTCATAAGGTGGCTAGACCCAATGACCATTTAGTGTAAATGTTGGGCCCATTAAGAGCCCATGGTAATGGAATCAGGGGTTCACTATGTCCTATAGTGAATTCGGCAGGCCTTGTAACAAAGGCTGGGCTGAACCCATGTGGCTGATGCATAGATTAATGTTTGGGTCCCACGCCATACAAAGAGAGCCAACTGGGTAGTAGGTTAAGAGGTTAAGTGAGCACATAAATTTAATGGGCCTAAAGCCCAATTCGAATTGGGCTTAAGTCAGTTAATTAAAAGGAGGATAGATAGGATTTATAATCTGATTAGGACTAATTGAAGGATAAGATAAGTCTTATCCATTCAAGAGTCCAGATCCAAATATCAGATTTGGATTAAGGAACTCTTTCCTAATTGAATTAGGAGGCTGATCCTGAGAAGGCTATAAATAAAGGGGGAAAATTCCTCAGTTACACAACACAACAATCTGTAGAGTTCTTCCATATTTTTGCCGCCCCTACCCAATTTGATCTCCACTTGTGGGAGTGGTCAAGAATTGTTATTGATATTGCTTCTTGGTAGAAGAAGCAATTTGAAGTCGTGCTCATCAGCCCTCTACTCCATTCTTGCTGAAGAATTCGGTTCTAACTGAATAGCCGTCTTGCTGATCTTGCTTCACTACACACTATGTCATGTTTAGTGGAAGCGGGTTTTGGTTTTCTCCTTGGGCGTGAACACCTTCATTAGAAGTTACTGCTACTTCGTATCAGATCTGGTTCAATTTGATTCAAAATTGATCATTGAAAATGCAGTTTTCTAAAATAGGGAATGTGATTCCCATATGGGAGAGAGAAATTTTTGAAATTTTGCCCTACCTTCCTGCAGGATTCGGCCATCCATAAGATGGATCTCTCATGCCTACACGTTAAGACAATGTTTTGTGAAGCAGGTTCTCCTACATGTTTCTTTAAATGAATACTATAGTCAAGAGGTGTTTTAACGGGTTTGCAATCATAGTGTTCAAAATTTCTAAGAATATTCTCTACATAGTGTAATTGGGAGAGAATAAAGTTTCCTTGTTGTTTATGGATTTTAATCCCCAAGATTACATCAATTTCACCCAAGTCCTTAGTATCGAATTTAAATATTAGAAATTATTTTGTTTCCTTTACTATCTCTAGACTTGTTCCCATTATTAGCATATCAACAACATATAAACAGATCATGACTCCTTTATCATTTACAAACTTGCTATAGACACATCTATCAAAATCATTTATGTTATATCCATTAGTTACTAAAACATTGTCAAATTTTTTCATGCTACTATTTTGGAGCTTATTTTAAGCTATACAAAGACTTAATTAATTTGCATAATTTATTTTCTTGTCCTGACATTATGAAGCCTTCAAGTTGCTTAACATATATTTCTTCCTCTAATTCCCCATTTAAGAAAATTGTTTTCTCATCCATTTGATGAACTACTAGTTTGTAAATGGATGCTATAGCAAACAAGACTCTAATTGTACTTAACCTTGCAACCAGGGAGTAAGTGTCAAAGAAATCATCTTTCTTTTGTCTGAACCCTTTAGCAACTAATCTGGCTTTGAATTTATCTATTGTACCATATGGCTTTAATTTTTTCTTAAAAATCCATTTACAATCTAGTGCCTTAGTTCCAGGTGGGAGATTTACAAATTCCCAAGTGTGATTACTGACTAAAGAGTTTATTTTACTTTTTATGGCTTTTTTCCAAAATACTGCATCAGGTGAAGTTACAGCTTCTTGATAGGTTACTGGGTTCTTGTCCACCAGAAATGTGAACATTTCATCCCCCAAGTTTGTTTCTTTTTTTTGTCTTTCACTTCTCCTTAAGTCTGGTTCTTGATTCCTAGAATCGATGTTGTCTTGACTAAGTGAAGTACTGATTCTTTGAGCATTCAATTGTTTTTGGTTTCTGTTTTGGATTTGGGAAGGTTCCCTATTTATTATTTGTTTCTCCAAGGAAAAATGTGCTCAAAGAACTCTGCATCTCGGGACTCTGTTATTGTGTTGTTTTTTACAACATTATCAATTGTTTTAATTACAAGGAATCGATAAGCTGCACTGCTTTGTGCATATCCAATGAACACACAGTCACAGATTTTCGGTCCCAATTTATTTCTTTTAGGTTTAGGTATTCCAACATTTGATAGGCAGCCCTAAACTTTTAGGTAGTTCAAATTAGGTTTTTTGTTATGCCATAGTTCAAAAGGTATTTGTCATTTCTTCTTATATTCGGTCTCTCTATCTATTCTCAGTCTTTTTATTTTATTTCCTAACTGATTTTCTACTTTAGTCTTGTAGTTTATAAAAGTTTGATCAACCTCATCTTTTGATCTAAATAAGACTATTTTTGCATATTTGGAAAAGTCATCTATAAAAGTTATATAATATCCTTTTCCTTCTCGAGCTTCATGATATTTAAGGTCTCCTAAATCACTGTGTATAAGTTGTAATAATTCAGTTTCTCTTTATACACTTTTCTGAGGTTTCTTAGTAAATTTTGCTTCTATTCATATTTGGTGTTTTTCATTTGTAAAATTAATAGGAACATTCAAAACTCCTAATTTACATAACCGTTTTAAATAAAGATCACTACGATGTTCTAATCTAGCATGCTAAATATCAAATTATTTAACAATATAAGCAGAAGAAGAAGCATTCTAATTCATAATAATATAAGAAATATTCAGTACAAACAATCCACCAACATTGTATCATTTTCCAATAAATACATTATTTTTAGTTAACACAACCTTGTCTGCTTCAAATGTGAGCTTTAATCCTACTTTGTTGAGGAGTGCTCTCGACACCAAATTTTGTCTGATCTTTGGCACATGCAACACATCATTCAACATCAGGATTTTTCCCAAAGTCATTTTTAGGAGCCAGATGACTTTCGAAGTTTATGAGCTTCCCATGAAGATTTGCTCTCCCTCAGACTGAGTTGTGTACTCATAAAAGGAGCTACGGTCTCCACATATGTGCTTGGTAGCACCAGTGTCCAATACCCACTCCTTCGGCTTATCAACTAAGTTTGCGTTAGTTACCATGGTTGCAATAACATACTCAATCAAATTGACTTTCGGTTTCCCAGAGTCTTTCTACTTTCAGTACCGATAGTCTTTCTTGTAATGCCCAGGTTTGCTACATACATAGAAATTTCCTTTCTTTTGTTGCTTATTGAATTTCTGATTATTCTTCACATTTAGATTCTTTTGAATTTTGTAGTCGTTTCATAAACCAGATTGGTTTTGGAAATCTGATCCCCATCTTTCTTTTTGTTCTTTTATTCTATTTTAATTTGGACCACTACTTGATCCAAAGTAGTGCCCTTCCTTTTATGCTTCATACTTGTCTTGAAATCATTCCATGTATGTAGCAATTTCTCTATGAGAGAACCAACAATGAATTCATCTGGCAGCATCATGCCTTCCCTTGCCAGTTCCCCCACAAGCACATGAAACTCACCTATTTGGGCAGACACGTCCATGTCTTTTTTCATGGTGAAATACAGGAAATTGGCAATCACATATTTCTTATTTCCAACATTTTTCAGAGCATACTTGTTGATGCTGCGCAATCCGAGTACTCTTAGCTGGCAGTTGACTGGCTCCTAGCTGGCGACGGACGGTACCTAAGAAGAAGGCGGTGAAGGATTCCCGGGGGACTTGCCCGGTGGGAATACTCCGATGCTTAAGTTAGAATGCTGGAGAAAGCAATAAAGAGTGCAAAGAAAGCTAAGAGTGCAGGTCACGCTAGATCACTAAGTGTTCGAGATTAGCTCGAGATAGAGATCAGATATGTTCAAGATGTAAGATATAAGATATCTAATCTTTTTTCCCCTTCGACCATGGGGTTCTTAAATATGAGCGTTCTTGTCAAATCGGGCGTAMCCGCCACTAGACCTCTGTCGCAGCCATTATCTGCCAGGGTTGCGCAGGTGACCGTTGTAGAGTACTACCCAATCGAATGAGTGACACGTCCCGGGAGGACAGACACGCCACCATCTGTCGAGAGACGTGGGTGCAGTCTGTCGGGCTGGCAGGGATTGCGCCGTCAGTCAGGAGACGTGGTGCAGTCTGACGGGTACGATCTTATCAGATAGAAGCTTCCTGGAAACATCGCGTCGCTTAGTAGCGAGCTGCCTTGTAGCGAGCTATTTTGTCACGAGCTACCTTGTAGCGAGCTCCTAGGGGTACTTCGAGGTGATTCCTCTTGAGGTTGCCCTTGAGGCAGTTTTTCTGCCTAAGTATTGAAGCGACCTGGGATAGACTTATCTTGGAGTATTCTCTTTCAGTACATCGGGGGTCCTCGAGCTCGTGCTGTAGCGAGCTTACCCTATGGCGAGCTGTGACGCAGCGAACTGTCCTGCGGGCTCGTTACTTAGTCGCGGTCAGACTGTGGTGCTGAGCTGTTACTTGTGCTGAGTCATGTCCACGTGTCACCATCTCAAGGGGTCGGGTCAAATTACCCTCCATCAATTGCCCCCGACTCCTTGGGCTAAGGGTGCTACCTTAGCGTGAGGAGTTCATGAAGTGTGACGGGTGGATTTGACCCGAAGTTCAAACTTGATTGACTGATCGCATTAAATGCGCGAGCAGAAGTCAGGGGGTCTCCGAACCTTTTGAATGCCAAAAAACGTGCCGAAGCGGCTCTCAGTTCCGGAAGACATGCGACCGTCATTACCTTAATCATGGGAGATGTGCAGCCAATCACGTTTCAGCTTCAGGAGGCGTGCGGTCAGCTTGACTGTGAACCGTCAGATCCGTTCTAATCTGAGCCATCGATTTGAGGGCATAGTGGCTATAAATAGGAGGGCCCCAGGCCTCATTTCTTTTACACTAAGTTTCCTTGCTTTCGAATTCT